TCACACTCCCTGTGGGTTCGACCCTTGCTCGCCACTACTACTAGTTAGTAGAGGTTAGTTAAGGAAAAATATAAATTATAATTTTGCCGCGTTGCGACGCGCGGTCACTTTGGGACCCTCGAGCATTTGGTTAATTATTTTGGGCTTTAGCCTGGCGCATTTACGGTAATCACGTTACCTTCTTTGATGAGTTGAATTAGTTTGAGCGATCTGATAATTTTTTCGAATTGTTATTTAGATGAGGCCTGAGTGGCCTAGTCGGGTTATTTGGTACCCGTCATTGCGTAGGGATTCACTTTGGATCCTTGATATGAGTGAGTTTCGAGCTCTTTTGAGTGAGCTTTGAGCCCTTCATTCTCTACGAGATGGTTCGCTTAATGTGATCATGTGATGAATGTGTGAGTGCATGATGAATGCGGGGTGCATGATAGATGAGTGAGTTTGTGATGTATGCATGTGATGAATGTTCGATGAATGAGAACACCCGACCTTATATTTTGTTGGGTCGTCTGGCTTTGAGATCGACACTTATATTTTGCCTTGCCGAACTATTTTTCGAGTTCGGTTTTTAGTTTTGAGGCACTTCAGCCTTATGGCTCATGGGCCTTACCAGGCCCCTTTGTCGGGCCCGGTTCGTGCTATTTATCGCACTAACAATCATATCGGTTATTCGTTACTTATTCAAGTCACTTACCTGATTGGGTTTTTGCCCTTGCCGAACTATCCTCCGAGTTCGGCCCATGTTTTTATATTCTTTTGGCCTCTTACCTGACCGGCCAGCTGTTCGAGCGTGGTCGGTACGATTAGCGGACCTGATCGGTCCATCTTCGGGACCGGCCTTTTGTTTTGGCTTCTTACCTAACCAAGTCACTTTTGGAGCCCGGCTGGTACTATTAATGAGCCTAGCCGTCCCAACTTTGGGGCCGGCTCGCGTAGTGTATCGCGCTTTTTGGCAGCTTTGACCTTTTCTGGATCTCTTACTGGATCCCTCGGTGCTATGGCCTCACCGGGCTGCTTTTGAGTCCGACATGCGTGGTTCTTTACGCATTGTTGGTTATGCAACTCACGACTCGATCTATCCTTTTCGGACGTTCTGGTTTTTGTCGTCGATATTTTTCGTCAGTCTTTCCCCCGGTAGGTTCTTTTGTCTTGTCGGGGTGCCGGCTCCCGGTGTTAATAGAGGAGCTGGGGCTCGTTGTCGGGCGGAGATTGGATGTTGACAGTGCCGAAGTGAAGGCTCGACGGCGATAATGAGAGTAACGTCGGCCCAGTAGAGCAGGGGCTCGCTAATGGGGGATATGTAGGTGTCTATAGTGCCGAAGTGAAGTATCGACGGAGATAATAAGAGTAACGTCGGCCCGGTAGAGCAGGGGCTCGTTAGTGGGCGAGAGGTGGATGTCGACCTTGCCGAAGTGAAGGCTCGGCGGCGATAATGAGAGTAACGTCGGCCGGGTAGAGCAGGGACTCGTCGGCGGGAGAGATGTGGATGTCGACCTTGCCGAGGTGAAGGCTTGGCGGCGATAATGAGAGTAACATCGGCCCAGTAGAGCAGGGGATCGTCGGCCCGATAGAGCAGGGGCTCGTCGGCGGGCGAGATGTGGATGTCGACCTTGCCGAGGAGAAGGCTCGGCGGCGATAATGAGAGTAACATCGGCCCGGTAGAGCAGGGGCTCGTTAGTGGGCGATAGGCTGATGTCGACCTTGCCGAAGTGAAGGCTCGGCGGCGATAATGAGAGTAACATCAGCCCGGTAAAGCAGGGGCTCATTAGTGGGCGATATGTAGGTGCCGACCTGGCTGGAGCGTAGGCTTGACGATAGTCGAAGTGATAACGTTGGCCCGACAGAGCAGGGACTCATCGACGGACGATATGTGGATGTCGACCTTGCCGAAGTGAATGCTCGGCAACGATAAAAGTAATAATGTTGGCCCGGCAGAGCAGGGGCTCGTCGGCGGGCGATATGTAGATGCCGACCTGATAGGGGCGCAGGTTCGGCAGCAGTAGAAGTGACAACGTCGGCCCGACATAGCAGGGGCTCGTCTGCAGGTGATATAACGTCGTCATCCCGGCAGAGCAAGGGCTCGTCGCCGGACTGGATGGGGACGTCGGCCTGGCCGGAGCGAGGGCTCGACGGCGGCCGAATAACGACGTCAGCCCGACAGAGCAGGGGCTCGTCGTCGGACTGGATGGGGACGTAAGCCTAGCCAGAGCGTGGGCTCGTCGGCAAGCGAAATAACAACGTCAGCCCGGCAGAGCAGGGGGTCGTCGCTGGACTGGATGGAAACGTCGGCCTGCCGGAGCGAGGGGCTCAACGGAGGGCGAAGTAACGATGTTAGCCCAGCAGAGTAGGGGCTCGTCGCCGGACTGGATGGGGACGTCGGCCTGGACGGAGCGAGGGCTCGACGACGGGAGAATAACAACGTCAGCCCGGCAGAGAAGAGGCTCGTCGTCAGACTGGATGGGGACATCGGCCTGGCCGGAGCGTGGCTCGATGGCGGGCGAAATAACAACGTCAGCCCGGCAGAGCAGGGGCTCGTCACCGGACTGGATGGGGACGTCGGCCTGGCCGGAGCGAGGGGTTCAACGACGGCCGAAGTAACGATGTCTGCCCAGTAGAGCAGGGGCTTGTCGCTAGACTGGATGGAAACATCGGCCTGGTCGGAGCGTGGGCTCAACTGCGGGCAAAATAACGATGTCAGCCCGACAGAGCAAGGGCTCGTCGCTGGACTGGATGGGGACGTCGGTCTGGCCGGAGCGAGGGCTCGACGGCGGGCGAATAACGACGTCAGCCCGACAGAGCAAGGGCTCGTCGCCTAACTGGATGGGGACGTCGGCCTGGCCGGAGCGTGGGATCGACGGCGAGCGAAATAACAACCTCAGCCCAGCAGAGTAGGGGCTCGTCGCTGGACTGGATGGGGACGTCGGTCTGGCCAGAGCGACGGCTCGACGGGCGAAATAACAACGTCAGCCGGCAGAGCAGGGGCTCGTCGCCGGACTGGATGGGTATGTCGGCCTGGCCGGAGCATGGGCTCTACAGCGGGCGAAATAACGACGTCAGCCCGGCAGAGCAGGGGCTCGTCGCCGGACTGGATGGGGACGTCGGCCTGGCCGGATCGAGGGCTCGACAACGGGCGAAATAACAGCGTCACGGCTTGAAGGTCTCGTGACTTTCTGAGACTGAGAAGTGTTAGAGGAACGATCGTGCCTATCCCGAAGGCTTGCAGCAGACCGGCTTCCCCCAATCCTTCCCGTCTCGGCTCGACTTTCACGAATAAGATTCGGTCCACATTTTTGCGCCTCATCTTCTTCTTTCTTATTTCTTTGTTTTTTTCGACATTTTTTCTTTTTACGCCATCCGTTCGGCATATGTGCGGCTCAACATCTAAATCAATTCTCAACGGAGTTTGTTGCCTCCGTTGAACGGCAACAACTTTTTTCTCCGTCA